GACGCGACATTCCATTTCTTCTCTATCCTCTTCTCCGCTTTCGAATTTCTAGATTATACCTTAGACAGACACAGATATTATAATAATGATATCATTAGACATCATGATGTCATTTGATACTTAAAAATTAACTTATAAGTACCTAAAAAAAAAAAAACAAACGTCAAATTAAGGGAGCGTAAAAATGATTTTTGGTTACAAAATTTGATTGTTTATTGATGTTCAGAATAAAAATAAAGTCTAAATAATTTTGATTTTTTTGTTTATGTGTTCTGTAGATAAATGACAGATAAGATCAATGATAATGTCTTTATTGTATTATTATACGACTTTTGTCTCTTCTACTTGAGACACGACATCGTTTTAACCATCGAGTTTCAAAATGAACTTAATGAATTGCTCGCTTTACTGCGCGCCCCTCGCTTGCCACATAATTGACGTTATCTCGAGTTTTTCTTTCATCGCAAATTTACCCGAGATAGGACAGATAAAATGTCAATTCGCGTTGCAATCGTGGAAAGTCGCAAGAGGAAAAAGAGAAGTAAAATTCGTTTAAGGATCTCGGGGCACATTATCTAGTCGTCGATATGGGTAGGTCGTTAATTGTATTCACTAGATAAGATAGCGCGCGAGAGAGCATTCGAAGGTCCAAGTTGCGTCAAACTGTCCCTCCGAGGGGGGGGGGAGGGAGAGGAGATAGGGGGAGCAATAAGCTCTAGATTTTCACGGAGCGCGCCAAGACGACGACTCGAGCCCTCTTAACGAAGTTGGAAGCTAAGGACGGAGTCCAAGTGTACACACACTTGAGGTGCACGTACGCAGAGGAAAACGAAGAGCCTACCGAGAGAATGGCCGAAAGGAACGACGCAGGGGAAAGAGGAGGACAGGGGATGCAGAAGGAGCTCCAGTGAACGGCAGGAAAGAGAGAAGGAAGAAAGACGAAAGAAAGAGGAAGGCCAGAGGAAAGGCGGTGAAGATCGGTGAACTGGACGCGAAGCATGCGAGTACAGTGAGACTGGTCGACGATTGTCAATACAGTCTTGCACGAGGATACGACTTACACTAGAACAATTCAATAGGAGAAAAACCAGTCAGCTATGGAAAGACAAACTTCGAGAAAGAGGATCTTTCTGCCTTTTAGTGTACAATCGGAGGACTTCGCACAATCGAAGGATCTGTGATACAACCTGTATCACGAAGATATGTTGTTTTGTATAAAAACTAATTGTATAAAAAAAAATTGATGGAAATAAGGTGTTTTAGAATAGATTTTAGACGTCTTAAAACTATGAACTTTATCAACGGATCTGAATTATCGGAAAATATTGCTTACGGAAATATTATAGTTTGTTAGATATTATATAGATTCTCTCATAGTTTTCGTATGCGATGCACTTTTCAAGAATTAGGTTTCCTTGTTCGATTACACGTCGAATGAATTTCATGTTATTTTTCAAAGGCAAAGCAGAGTGAAGTGTTTGATAAAGAATTACTTGAAGCGCTATTTGATAAAACCGATCGAACGAGCGAAAGCGACCGAGGTGAATGGAGAGTACTCGGGAAGATTGCAACGACTGAAGAGTAATTACGTACATTAAGAGAGGGAGAGAGTCCCTTTTTACAGACACGTGAAAGGAACACAAAAGGCTCTCGTCGGACATTGTAATCGTTGATTACGCTCACTGTACATGCGTAGATATCCCGCCACTCCATTCAATCGTAACTCATAACTTTTACGACGCTTTCGTGAAGGTACCTTATTAACATTCAGCCGCACTAATTTATCCTCGGGAGAACTGACTTTTAATTGGGAGGTATCGGCGTAACGACGTCGTACCTTCTCGTTTTGAATCATAACGCACGTGACCATAAACAATATCTACATCAGGAAGTCACGGATTTTCTAATGGATCAAGTTTACGGGGTACTTATTAATATTAATGATAATGGTATAATTAATACTAATGATAATTCGATAATAATGACGAACCAAATTAGATAAGATCTGCCGGTTGATCGTGAAAGATCCAAGTAATGATGAGTTATAGTGATGAGTAGTGATCCGAATACGTAATTTTTTTCTAGCCCGAAACCGTAATAATCTATTTGCATTTCTTATGCTTTTTGCACTTAGCATCTTTGTTTTCTTTCTCTACAACGTTCGAACATATATATTTAATATTCTTTTAAGTTCAATAATTTTTGGAAATTTCAAGTCTTGCGAAAATTCAAACCTTGTGAAAAATTAAAATTTTTGCCATTGAAAACATGGATTTTATTTGGGAGGGAAGTCAAATTAAAGTCTTTTGACTGAGACTTTTTGACTTTTTAAAAGGGGGAGGATAATCGATGAATTATCGGATTTGTTTTGTTTTATATTAATTATCTTTAATTAATTACTACAAATAAATCACAAAATCATACACATATTTAATTTATTAATGTACGAGTACTTAATTTTTTTCGTAAAATTGTAAATCGATTCTTCAAACTGGAAAAGCTAACATTTGTAACGCAGCAGTTTTGAAGTCTCAGAAAATATTTCTATAAATCTTCCAATTCTTTCTCCTTTTTTAAAATGAATTTCTTGAATACTCATTATAGTCCATTTAAGCGGTTTTAATCCACGGGTTCAACCTCTTAGCTACGCCCATAATTGAAGATATTGAAAGAAATGTTCATTTTTTATGTTCTCGTCCTAAAAAAAAAATTACGTTATTTTTCACGATCAGCGAATTAATTTCAATATTTCGTTCTTCTATTATTTTCAATGGAAAAATGTTACATGATCCAAGGAACACACGGAAATCAAGAGAAAACCAAAATGACTTTTTTTTAATGCCAAAATGATGATTTTTATTACAAAATATAATGTTAAGAATCAAAATAATAAATCATTTGGATTTTTTGTTGATTTTTACGTGTTCCTTGAGGAAAGATTGTCAACGTTGACATCAAGTCCTTCCTTTTTCCTCCTCGCGTGATCGCGAGAGTTCAGAATAATCGCGATCCGATCTAAGGTAATGGAGTATACAGCCGTTGTCCATCATCGTCGTATTACGAAGTCCGGATCGCGAGCCACGCCATCGTTATACTGCCGCGTTTCTAAACGTTCTACAAAATGATCCTGCGGTGATTACACCTCCGAGGCCAGTTCAATGCCAGTTCGTCATACGGCCCCGTCGGGCTCCCACACAAGGAGAACCGCATAATCATCGATGATGCGTCGCGCGAAATATTTTACTCGGCGAATATTTTCATGCGACGCGGTAGTGCATGATCGTAAAACGCGACAGTTTTAAAACGCGCTTTTCACCTCGTTCAAAAGGCATCGTCGCAGCGAGCATGTTGCGACGCGATATTATTCACCCGATAACGACCGTCATTAAACACAACAATCTCGATACTCTTAGCGAGGGATTAAGTTCCTCTTCTTTTTGCGTCGCGCGATCATACTAATTTTCTGATTGTCCAAAGATACACTGAGAAAAAATTTGCTTAAATTTAAATAAATATTTATTTGAATACTGTCAATTAAACATTTTTACTTACAACAAATAAATATTTACTTAATAAAAAGAAGTGTTGTTTTGTTAAATCAAATTAATGGTTTTTTTGTGCCGAATAAATATATTTTTCTACTTAATAAATATTTAGTTGGTACTATTGAAATAAATATTTATTGAAATTTAGGATATTTTTTTCTCAGTATACTTATCATTTGTACGATAATTGCTGATACCTCACCTTTTGTGAGTGACTACTTTAATTTACAATACGTTCATGTTTTTATAATTTTATAATTTTATCACGTCAATAAATCTTATTATTACTATTATTAATTTTATTGCTAAAAGGATTGCGAGAAGGAAAATTCAGTTCGAAAATATATTTTTCCTAAGAAGATAAAAATGCAATCAGCTCTTGTTTAGAAAAATTATTGGTGCGACAAAACTCGAGATATTATAGGAATAAATGTTCCAATATCAGATACTTTATGCGGATTCTTCGATCTCTATCGATGATCATTCGTGGAAAATCATATTCCGTGAGAAATGATTTCTACAATCTAAGGAAGTGAGATCAATGAAGCTTCCCGGAGCGTGCCTATTGTTCGTGATGGTCACAAAGTGGAGCAAAGTCGAGGTATAACGGAATGGTCATTTGCGAGATGAACTCCAGGCGAATCGTGGCGAGCCGTTAAAAGAGGGGCTCGTCTATTAATCCGACGAGACATCGGTAAATCATTGCCGGTCCAGCGACTATCAGGCGGAAATTCTCGACACGGTTTAGTATCTCGAGTCGATTCCACAGTCGTTTGCGATATCTCTCTCTCTTTGCGGCGATATCTCTCCGGGAATCCAATAATCTTTGTCTGCGAGAGATACAATTTTTTACGTCAATTACGTTACGGATGAAATCTAACGACGAGGCATTGCCTCGGGAACGAACGGGAGATTCGATTTTGAGTGAGAAAGTTCCGGCACGTTCAGAAATATTATTCCTTAGAAAGTCACGATTTATATACGAAATCAATGATTTTGTTAAAATATATCTAAAAATTTAATCATAGATACAAGTTTAAAAATAATTTCGTTAGATCGTCAAAATAATTATGTGAAATTGGTTGCTAAAAATATGTCGAAACTTTTACAGAATTGTTTAACATGCTTGAAATTTCTACGTAATTATTTTGTCGGTCCAACAGAATTCTTTTTAAATCTATATGTAATAGCTAAATTTTTAGATACTTCAGCAAAACCATCCTTTTCGTGTATACATTGTATAAACATTACAAGAACACATACACTGAAAAAAAATATAGTCAATTTTAATAAATATTTAGTTGAATACTGCCAACTAAATATTTATTAAATATTGTAATATAATATAAATAAATATAAAGATATATTTATTTGATACAAGAAATGAGTTAATTTGATTTAACAATCTTTTTTTACTGAACAAATATTTACTTACTGTAAATAAATGTTTACTTATTCCAAATTAATTATTACTGCAAATATAAGTATCTTAGAAAGCTGTTAATGATTTGCTGCTAATAAGCATGTTAAAAACTGTAAATATATAATAATTTATTGCGAAAAATATTACCCCAATCATACATATTACAATATTTAAGAATGAATACTTTTCGTTGCACGCACGACATTCATTCTTTTGAAGCACGGATTCATATCGGAATGGGTCCCAATTTCGGGGTATACGATGCGTCTGATGGCGATTAGGTTATTTAAAATTTAGAATCACGTGCGCGAACAATGGCTGGAAAGTGAAAGGATCGGAAGTGAGCGGAAAGGGTTGAGCGTCCTTAAAGTCGCGACCCTCTCGCAACGCGGGCGAGCGATCGCGCCGATGAAAGCTTATCTCGACGGTCGCTTTTGTCGAGTATCGGACCGCCACCGTACACCGTCATCGGGTATACTGTATCGACCGCCCGCTAACGAGATCCTGTTACGACGGTTGACAGTTGTGTAAACGTGTGTTTCGATCCGCGAGACTGCGTCATTGGAACGCTACGCGGCGCGTTTCTTCATCAAGGAAGGATCTTGTTATAATTTTTATTACACACGAGGAGAGTCGTAGTAACTCGCGATAAAACGTAAGATAAGAGTCATCCGCGAATGCGCTCTCAGAGCCGTATAATTGCATTCAAATTGTTCCTGTTATTACTCTCTATAAATTCTTTAGAGTGGAATCTCATTCTAAAGAGTGAAAATTGAGCCAGTCTTGAGAAAGAGTGGCTCAATTTTTAATCGTTAAAAATGAGACTTCACTCTTCAGAGTGACAATTAAAACGTTTATTTTAAAGTTCCGCTCAAGTTCTCTAGGAATATACAAGAAATGAATTAGAATATAATTGAAAGCGAATTATGATAGACGGTAAGTAACGCAGGAGGAACAAAAGATCTGTTTTTTATTCTTGCACTAAACCAAACCCAACTTTTTTTCTCGCTTTCGCCAAATGTAAAATTCTTACTTCAAGTTTCAAATATACATTAGTTCAATCACAAAAAACCGGATTTAAAAATAAAGTTGAAGTAAAATGAAACAAAATACTATAGATCTGTTTTATGTGGCCGAACTAGATAAAAGTGTTTACTTGCAGTAAAAAAAAGTATATTTAGCGAAAAAGAACGAGAAAGAAAATTCTAGTGCAGTCTAATGCAGTGATAAAAAGTAGAACTAATAATTATAGAAAGAAAAATAAAAGAATGAAAATAAGATGAATGTGAAGAAATATGAGAATAATAGTGAGATAATAATTACTGACTGTGTTCGAAAAAAATGATACTTTCTTCTTTTATCGCGTGATTTCAGCGAGATCTGCTTAAATCGAGTTTTCCGACAAAATTTTGAAGCTTATTGCAATCTTTATATGAATACCCGCGCGCGAATATAAAAAATTATATCTACGATATAAAATTCTTACAAACTTTTATATCTTATAATTTAAAAAGGTAATATTAAATTTAATTATTTTAGAATTAAATTAAATACGCTTTTAATGTTTCAGACTCTCGAAAGTTTATTATCTTAAGAGAATAGCAATCGTGCGACGTTCATTACGACAGATTGTCCATTATATACTAAACTGACCACGGCGAGTTGCCGTTTAATTGAATAATTACTCACCGGAACGAAGCAAGCCGCAGTCGTTAACTCTCAGAGATAATTGCGCCCCAGCTCGACTCGTCGGAGATAATCCCGTATCTCTCGCTCGTCCTTCCGCGATAATACCGATCACGATGCGAATCGATCTTGCCTTCTTATCGAGAATCGCCGTGACAGGTCCTCGTCCTTTGAATCGTAAATAGCCCTCTGGACGGAAACATTCCTCTCCTTCCTCGCGCGACACGACTCCACACTGTTTCACGTCTCATTTTGCGACCCATAACATCCACCGTCTCGCATAATTGATTCAGTCTGGTCTCTCGAATTGCGGACACGACTCCTTCTTTCTGTTCCCCAGTATGGTTTTCCGACTCGCAACCGTAAATCCCAGTATCAAAGATTATTTTTGTACGAATTGGACCAGTGGAATTGTCTCCTTGGGGAAAGAGGGTAGCTCCACTTCTTATGTTGTACTTAACTCCTTCCCCGGCGCGGCGCGGCGCGGCGCGGCGCGACGCTGTGGAGAACGCTCTGGAAGAG